TTTTGTGGTTAATGTTGAACAACTCAGAGAAACAAACTCTGTATGATGGTTAACAGTTGGCACCCACCTTACCCTATTCACGACCTGTGACACCTCTTCATACCTGTCACGTGCATAGCTGACCTACATTGACGAACGTTGACCTTTATGACCCAACACTGCCGCTGTTACAGGTCATTGGCTCCCTCCCTCTGCAAGCAGTCTGCGTTCTGCTGTTTATTTTGTTGACAGTTACATAGACAGATTCTTTAATACAAATGCATAAAATCGGTGATTTACAATGTGATTAGGTTGTCTGACAAAACATCCACTTGAACAGTTTGAGATCGATTGGATCATTGGATGAAGAGATATTTACAAAAAAAACGGGTCCACATGCATTTCATGCCAAACTATAGCGTGTGTTGGTGTTATCTACCAGAGTGTTCCTCTGGTACAAGTCATTCACTCCTTACTGATGACACCATCACAGACACGAAAGAAGTAAGGTTTTCTTATTCTGTGCCTATGCTATAGGCATGGGATGTTAGGCAGGATTAGCAGCACAACTAAATGATAGTTGACTGTAGAGAACATTCATGTTGACACAATTTTATTGTATTATGATTGCTGAAATATAGGATTTGTGGCACTGATGTAATACAGGTTTAGTATTCACAGAAATTACCTGATAATGATTTTTTGACCGATTGGACATTCCTGTAAACTGTAGAAGCTTTTTACAACAGTGCATGACATAAGCTCACTTTTAGTAAAGGTGAGCTGAAGAGTGCTTGCATGCATATTAAAAAGACAGCAACCCCATTATATCTGCCCGATGCATCAAAGAAACCATTACATGCCACCTAATGGCAATCACTGGATTGTCGGTGCAGACTCATTTATTTACAGACCACAGTCAAACAGCTGGAGAATTACTGTGGTCAACAATAAGCAAACAAACAAACAACATGCCACCATGCAACTTCAGTCCAAAACTATTACTTTAATGCTTGAAAACTTCACAGCAAACTCATTCCAGATAAAACATGCCTGCAGCTGTCCTACTGAGATTGTAAGGCAGTGTTGGCCTCATGATGTAACATGCCTGCAGCTGTCCTACTGAGATTGTAAGGCAGTGTTGGCCTCATGATGTAACATGCCTGCAGCTGTCCTACTGAGATTGTAAGGCAGTGTTGGCCTCATGATGTAACATGCCTGCAGCTGTCCTACTGAGATTGTAAGGCAGTGTTGGCCTCATGATGTAACATGCCTGCAGCTGTCCTACTGAGATTGTAAGGCAGTGTTGGCCTCATGATGTAACATGCAGCCTGAGAAGGCATTTCAAGTTCCATAAAATTGCATGTTCCAAATGCAGCACTGCCAGAGGTGTCAACAACATCCCATGGAGTGTCCAGTCACTTCCTGTCAAACGACTTTGGCCATCAAGTAATCACACATGCTACATGTACCTGCAAACTGAAAGGATATGTGTTGTTCCATCTCATCCAAAATACATTTGTACTAAAAGTAGAACATCTACTTGAGTGCGTATGTCATTCTAGTTGAATTGTGTCCTTTCATTTATTGTGTGTAGACAGGATACGTTTCCAGTTTTGTAGACGCAGATGCTGTCCACACCAAGCTAGGCTTGCTTGATGCTGATAGAGAAGCAAAATTAGGTGAATCACTGGATGTGGTGACCAGATGTTGTGCTCCCGCAATCAGTTGTGTACGGTCAATCCACTTATTGGTCTCAACCAAAGAAATAAGTCAGTTTGGTATTGATTCGGTAGATGTACCATCTGAATATGGTCGTCTTATTGCTGTGATGTCAAGTGTGGACGACTGGACTGGGGGGAGTCATGAGCCTTGCCCTGCAGTGGATTACGTCGCCCAGGAGATAATATTGTGTCTTGATGAAGATTTAAATCTCTGGAAATTTCTATTTTTTTGTCATTATTTTTTGCAGCATACACAAACTGTTGCTTTGAAAAAGTGTTGCATGCAGTTAAGCAAAGTGTCTTGGAGAGAACCTCATAGCAAAACAATCATTGTGTGATGGTTACATACAAAAACTATGCATATCACACTCCTCACAAACATTCAACTTGTGAGCTGTGCATCAACAAGTCCATGCAAAATGAGAATCATGACCTCAAAAGTCTTCATGTACGTGTATTGAAAGATGCATAATATAATTTCAGAATAAATATATTTGTATTCAACATTGTATGAAGCACTTTTTCGGCATAGTTGGGAACAGCTGGCCAGATGACATGCAAAGGCACTACATGAAACATTTCAGCCGGAAGTCATGCATTCTGCCACAGGGTCACTAGGAAATTTTTTAGTTTTTAAGAAAATTGTTATTAGCATAAACAGTGTGAGATACAATAAAGTCTTTAAAATATCAAAGTTACTAGAAATTCATCAATTCTCAATCTCAATATATCTCTCACATTGTATTTCTTCCACAGCACAGGTAGTGGCACAGATTCCTCGACAATTAATTAAAAACTATGATGCGTTTTATGCAGTAGACCAAAATCAAATTCAATCAGTCCCCAAATGGAAGAACAGAGCTGAGGATCCCTAACAAAGAGTACTTGTATGTAAATATCCTTTTGTGATCATATAATTACCTCAAATCAGTAAGCTCAGACACCACTACATATCATTATGAAATCAGTGTGCAATTCACTTAACGGCATGATCAGGACCAGTTAGGAGACCCAACTGAGACTGGAATCTCTGCAGGTGTTAACTTTAGAGGCATTCTTGAAGAAATGCCACCTGTATGGCTGAAAAGGTACAGTTGCTGTGTGAAGCCATGGTAAATGATTCTTGTGTTGATCAGAGAATATTGAGGTGATCCCTTCTGATTAACTAGCCTGAATTGTGAACATCAATATGGAAATGGCACCAAGTATGCACTTGTTGAGAAAACTCCCTGTCATGCCTCTGTTTGAAATATCAAGAGATCATTTTCTTGCATAACAGCTTGAACCTCACTGATGTATAATCAGTTGGCTCTCCATACAGTTGTATGCCTCTGGTGACTGACTCTGTTGAGAAGTGTTAGCTGGATACCGGGAATCCTCATATTTAAGCCATGTCGTTATTAAGCCAGTTTTGATTTTTAAATTTAAGCCCAAGGGCTTTTTAGAGTGATCTCACTACTGGACACGATAAGAACAGATTTACCGTGGTCTTGGGAATTTGCATGGATGGTCACATTCTCAAAGTTATGGTGATCTTAAAAAATCTTCTGAATGTTCAAAAATGGCAGATCCCCAAAAATATTGAACTCTTTGTTTCCAAAGGCAGATCAATGACCGAAGCCCTGATTTCAACACAATAGTTTGAATTTTATAAGAATTCTCTCAAATTATAATAGTTATGTTAAAAAAAGATGATTGAATTTGTTCATGGAATAAGATTCGTTCCATTTAACTTTTATAAAGAACAAAGTTTTGTTGTATTTTACCTCCTCTCAAATTTAAGCAGAGCTTAATTTCAGAAAAAATGTTTCTTAGATGAAATGGGTCAAATTTGAAATTAAGCCCAGGGTTTAAATATGAGGATTCCCGGTACCATGTTGTATGTTGAGGACAGGATTGAACACAATGGGTCAGGTTCGTGTTGTATGTTGAGGATAGGATTGAACACAATGGGTCAGGTTCGTGTTGTATGTTGAGGATAGGATTGAACACAATGGGTCAGGTTCGTGTTGTATGTTGAGGATAGGATTGAACACAATGGGTCAGGTTCGTGTTGTATGTTAAGGATAGGATTGAACACAAAGGGTCAGGTTCGTGTTGTATGTTGAGGATAGGATTGAACACGATGGGTCAGGTTCGTGTTGTATGTTAAGGATAGGATTGAACACAATGGGTCAGGTTCGTGTTGTATGTTGAGGATACGATTGAACACAATGGGTCAGATTCGTGTTGTATGTTGAGGATAGGATTGAACACAATAGGTCAGGTTCGTGTTGTATGTTGAGGATAGGATTGAGCACAATAGGTCAGGTTCGTGTTGTATGTTAAGGATAGGATTGAACACAAAGGGTCAGGTTCGTGTTGTATGTTGAGGATAGGATTGAACACAATGGGTCAGGTTGGTGTTGTATGTTGAGGATAGGATTGAACACAATGGGTCAGGTTTATGTTGTATGTTGAGGATACGATTTAACACAATGGGTCAGGTTCGAAGGACATATACAGCAGCCTGCCTCCGTTGTATCACTAAAACTTGTTACTTAAGTTCATCTCTGTCATCAGTGGATTTCGTTCCTTGCTGATCAATAATAATTGCTGATGAATTATGTCATTAACTGACTGACTGACTGAGTTTAGTTTTACGCCGCTTTTAGCAATATTCCAGCAATATCACGGCGGGGGACACCAGAAATGGGCTTAACACATTGTGCCCATGTGGGGTATGTCATTAACAGAGGTAGGGGACAGGTGCTTCCTCGGTGAACAGCACACCCTGAAGACAAGCCGCCAAAAGGACCCAAGCCTCATCTGTGATCTACTCATATATGGTGGATTATGAGAGGCAGTAGAGCTCTTCTTACTCTGAAAACATGACATGTTTTATGGACAAGATCTTTACCAATTGACAGTTAACTTGTCAATGTTTCTGAGTCAGTCACTTAATCTGTAAAAAATGTCGACACTCATGGACTCCTTTTGTTATAGACGACATCGGTAGTCTAGTACATGTAGTACACCAACAAACTATATGCAAATCAGTATGCAGCAGGCAAAATGCATGTTATAAAAAGTTAATGTAAAAGTGCCTGTTACAATTTTACTTTAGTGTATGTCAAGACTGTGGACTACATGAGATGAGATGAGAGAGAGAGACAGTGAGTCTGCCAATTTGACATTTGAAAACCCCCTGTACTTTTAGAATAATGCCGAGTGATGAAGGAAAAAACATTAAAAAAGTAAATGTATGTAGGAAAGAAGGTACACTACATGCTCATGCTAAATACACACTGCCATTACCTGGACTGGGTTACATCATAAAGAGGACTGCAACAGAGAAGTAAGGATATTCTGATACTACACTATTGGTGGTCATATATGTGCGGACATGCCTGTAGGAACTGACTACAATCAGCTCCTATTTCTTTCTGCATGGTCTGAGCGCAATGTATATGATGCATACTGTATATTACCATAGATAAGCCGTTTTCATAGGTAAGCCAAGGTAGTAAATTGCTAATTAAAATCAGTATCAAAATGGTATGTTCCGCAGATAAGCCAAACCAGAAACTTTTGCTCATCATTTCGTTGTGATCAGTCATGTGAAATAGAATGTCTCATCATGAAACATGTTATAGAACAAACTTTATGGATAACAACTTCTTTTTATTCGTGAGTGCGACGTTTCGATACAGATTCTTGTACCGTTGTCAAGCATAATGGGACATGAAGAGGGGGGAAGTGTATATATACTGGATGTGACAATGTGACAAAGAAAACAACATAATTAACATAATTGGCTAGGCAGAAGGCTGATGAAGCCAGAGAGTAGACAAAGGACAGGCGTAGAAGCCAATGATGTACAAATGATAATGACATGTTTATACAGCAGTGAGTTTATACAGTGGATTGGGCTTGGTGGATGAGTGCATCATAAGCGGATGGAATGAAGTATCCTTGGTCTCGGTTGATGGTGGGCTTTTGGCGCTTTGATGTGGATGGCTTCGGTGAGCTTGGCGCTTAGTGAAGTCTGTTTGTTTGTTAGAGAGAATGGTGATGTCAGACCACTCTATTTGATGATTGGGGCTTGCTTTGATGTGGTCGGAAATGGCTGATTTGCTGTCGGAATTGGTAACAGAGGTCTGATGTTCTTTCACTCGGGGTGTTGATGGGTCGGGACGTTTCGCCTATGTAGCTCTGCCCACAATCACAGTTTATTTTGTAGATGACACATTTTGGGTTGTTGTTCTTTACGGTGGCGGGTTTTCTTCCATTGGCATGGAGAATGTTGTTAAGGTTGGAGGTCTCGGAGAAGGTGGTATCTATGCCAGCTTGATCTTTCAGGAGGCGGCTGATTTGATGTGACGGTTTGCCAATGTAGGGGATGGATATCTTGATGGGGGCTAAATCTTGTTTGGGTCTTTTGGTAGGGGGTGACAGGGTGGCAGCGATGGTTCTGTTGACTATTTGGGATGGAACGTGGTTGCGTTCTACGAAGACTTTCTTGAGGTGTTCGATTTCATCTTGTAGTTTAGTTGAGCAGATGTTCTTGGCCCTTCTGGTTAGTGTGGAGATGATGCCGGTCTTAACTTTAGGTGGATGATTGGAGTTGTAGTGGATATACTGATCCGTATGGGTGGGTTTTCTGTATACAGTGGTCTGGAGTTGGTTGCTGGAGGTGCGGGACACAAGGACGTCAAGGAAAGGTAGTTGCTGGTTCTGCTCGGTTTCCATGGTGAACTTGATGCGGGGATGTTGGTTGTTGAGATGGGTAAGAAGCTGAGTGGGATCTTGCTGAGGTAGGAGGATGACGAAGGTGTCATCCACTTTGCGATACCAACATGTGGGTTTGAAGGGTGCAGTATCCAGTGCTTTATCTTCCAGGTCCGTCATGTAAATTTCGGTTAGGATGGGGGATAAGGGGGAGCCCATGGGAAGTCCATGAATTTGTTCATAGATCTCGTCCCCCCAGGTGAAGTAGGTGGAGTTGATGCAGGTTGAGGTGAGACTGATGATGGAGTCGGTTGAGAGGCTGGTGTTGAGGGGTTGTTGAAGTTTATCAATTCTGTGGCGTAAGGCTTGGAGCTCTTCTTCTCTTGGTACATTAGTAAATAGGTCCACAACATCAGACCTCTGTTACCAATTCCGACAGCAAATCAGCCATTTCCGACCACATCAAAGCAAGCCCCAATCATCAAATAGAGTGGTCTGACATCACCAATCTCTCTAACAAACAAACAGACTTCACTAAACGCAAGCTCACCGAAGCCATCCACATCAAACGCCAAAAGCCCACCATCAACCGAGACCAAGGATACTTCATTCCATCCGCTTATGATGCACTCATCCACCAAGCCCAATCCACTGTATAAACTCACTGCTGTATAAACATGTCATTATCATTTGTACATCATTGGCTTCTACGCCTGTCCTTTGTCTACTCTCTGGCTTCATCAGCCTTCTGCCTAGCCAATTATGTTAATTATGTTGTTTTCTTTGTCACATTGTCACATCCAGTATATATACACTTCCCCTCCTTCATGTCCCATTATGCTTGACAACGGTACAAGAATCTGTATCGAAACGTCGCACTCACGACCGAATAAAAAGAAGTTGTTATCCATAAAGTTTGTTCTATATTGTACTTCCCAACTTCTAAAATGCCACTCAAAGAAGAAATGAAACATGTTCTTTGTATATCTGGACTTATGTTTGCAATCTAGTTTATTTATTTTACTCAAAATGTCCAAACACAATTTTTACATTAACTGCAGTGAAATCGTGTGTCCCTCCAATATTAATAACCTCAGTCCATATTATCCAAGTGTAGATGTCAGAAAATGGATACGTACACATATTTTGTTTCATGTTAGTTGTAGCTGGACGATCACATGTCAACAAACTGTTTTCGCGGTGGAAATAACAAGACTGTGTGAAACCTCATCAGTGACAGGTCAAATTGCGGGGGATTGCTGAGAAACGTGTGCACAGCTGATTGCTATTTCTTACTCTGTTATACCAATACACACGGTAATCTGTATCCCTGCATATAAGACAATGCTAAACAAAAACAAAGTATAACTGAAAACGTAAATAATCTTGTCTGGTGATGTTGCAAATTTGACGTCTTTACTGATAAGTCGTCTTCTCTTGTTTGTTTGACAAGTCTAACCTGTAGATGAGTCGAGCCTTCTACAGACTGCCTTTTTGGTCTTCAAAATTCGGCTTCGGCTTACCTACGGTATATATATATATATATGAAAGAGAGAGAGAGAAGGAGAGAGAGAGAGAGATGGAGAGAGAGAGAGGGAGAGAGAGAGAGAGGGAGGAGAGAGGAGGTATATATTCGATAAAGATGGGCACAGTCAAACAAGGAACACTCAAATACACCCTGGTAAATTATAGTAAAGAAGTCGTCCATATCATCTGCCACCCTTGTATGCTTGCATCTGTAAATTTTCTGTCAGTAGGACAGGCACCATTCCTATCTATGAGCCCAATATTTTTGCGATAAAGGATTTGATACCAGACGAATCATACGCCTTATTTGAACATGCTAATTTGGATAAAAGATAAAAGTTCAAGTTGTTCCATGACAACAAAAGTACCACTTACACACTTGCCAGCTATCCATATGAAGTTAAAACAAATATCAAATAGTTATCATTCAAAATAATTCTGATGATACAACATCTATTACATCATGGCCATAAATCTTATATTTTGGCTAAAGTCAGACTAATACTAAACTTCCAGATTTTCAATAAAAGTCCACTATCTCCACTATAAACAAGAGTCATCAAGATCTGACTCACATATCTGCCAAGTTTTGCTGAAAGATATTAAGAAGTTTTCCAGTTGTGCTCCAGAAACGAAACCTACCCCGCCCTTTTGAGACTAGTAAGTCTGAAATGTTTCCATGGAAACCTAGAAAAATAAAAATGACAAAAATCTGCAAATAGCAAAAGGCACCACTTCAAGATCTGACTCACATATCTGCCAAGTTTTGCTGAAAGATATTGAGAAGTTTTCCAGTTGTGCTCCGGAAACAAAACCTACCCCTCCCTTTTGAGACTAAGTCCGAATTTTGTCCATGGAAACTGAGAAAATAATAAATCACAAAAATCTGCAAATAGCAAAAGGCACCACTTCAAGATCTGACTCACATATCTGCCAAGTTTTGCTGAAAGATATTGAGAAGTTTTCAAGTTGTGCTCCGGAAACGAAACCAACCCCTCCTTTTGGGAAAAATAAAAATGCCAAAAATCTGCAAATAGCAAAAGGCACCACTTAAGGTTCTGTTTGATATATCTACCAAGTTTTGTTAAAATATATTGAACGGTTCTTGAGTTATACTCTGGAAACGAAGCCCACCCTCCCTTTTGGGATTAAGTCCGAATCATTTCCATGAAAATCGGGAAAAATAAAAATGCCCAAAACTTTAGGATCTGTTTGATATATCTACCAAGTTTTGTTGAAAAATATTATACAGTTTTTGAGTTGTGCTCTGGAAACGAAAGCAATCCTTACTTTTTTAGACTAAGTCCAAAATGTTTCCATGGAAACCAAGAAAAATAAAAATGCCTAAAATCTGCAAATAGCAAAAGGCACCACTTAAGGTTCTGTTTGATATATCTACCACATTTTGTTGAAAAATATTGAACGGTTCTTGAGTTATGCTCCAGAAACAAAATGATTACGGACGGACGGATGGACGGACAGACAGACGAGGCGATGACTATATCCCACCGCATTACATGCCGGTGGGATAAAAATTGAGACATAAAATATATTTAAAATAAAAGTGCTTTCATAAACTGGTGCTTGCCAAAAAGTGAGCATCCACCGGTAAACATCAACTGTATACTCTCATCATTGGGTTTATTCAAATTGCGCAGTAAAAATGGTTCCAGTGTCACTTAAGCTCTTTGTCCCAAGGATGGTTCCAATGTCACTTAAGCTCTTTGCCCCAAGGATGGTTCCAATGTCACTGGAGCTATTTGTCCTAAGGATGGTTCCAATGTCATGGAAGCTCTTTGCCCCAAGGATGGTTCCAGTGTCACTTAAGCTCTTTGCCCCAAGGATGGTTCCAGTGTCACTTAAGCTCTTTGTCCCAAGGATGGTTCCAGTGTCACTGAAGCTCTTTGTCTCAAGGATGGTTCCAGTGTCACTGGAGCTCTTTGCCCCAAGGATGGTTCCAATGTCACTGAAGCTCTTTGCCCCAAGGATGGTTCCAGTGTCACTGAAGCTCTTTGCCCAAAGGATGGTTCCAGTGTCACTGAAGCTCTTTGCCCCAAGGGTGGTTCTAGTGTCACTGAAGCTCTTTGCCCCAAGGATGGTTCCAGTGTCACTTAAGCTTTTTGTCCCAAGGATGGTTCCAGTGTCACTGAAGCTCTTTGTCTCAAGGATGGTTCCAGTGTCACTGAAGCTCTTTGTCCCAAGGATGGTTCCAATGTCACTGAAGCTCTTTGCCCCAAGGATGGTTCCAGTGTCATTTAAGGTCTTTGTCCCAAGGATGGTTCCAATGTCACTGAAGCTCTTTGTCCGAAGAATGGTTCCAGTGTCACTGAAGCTCTTTGTCTCAAGGATGGTTCCAATGTCACTGAAGCTCTTTGCCCCAAGGATGGTTCCAATGTCACTGAAGCTCTTTGTCCCAAGGATGGTTCCAATGTCACTGAAGCTCTTTGCCCCAAGGATGGTTCCAATGTCACTGAAGCTCTTTGTCCTAAGGATGGTTCCAGTGTCACTTAAGCTCTTTGCCCCAAGGATGGTTCCAGTGTCACTGAAGCTCTTAGTCCCAAGGATGGATCCAGTGTCACTGAAGCTCTTTGCCCCAAGGATGGTTCCAATGTCACTGAAGCTATTTGTCCTAAGGATGGTTCCAATGTCACTTAAGCTCTTTGCCCCAAGGATGGCTCCAATGTCACTGAAGCTCTTTGTCCGACGGATGGTTCCAGTGTCACTTAAGCTCTTTGTCCTAAGGATGGTTCCAATGTCACTTAAGCTCTTTGCCCCAAGGATGGCTCCAATGTCACTGAAGCTCTTTGTCCGACGGATGGTTCCAGTGTCACTTAAGCTCTTTGCCCCAAGGATGGTTCCAGTGTCACTTAAGCTCTTTGTCCCAAGGATGGTTCCAGTGTCACTTAAGGTCTTTGTCCCAAGGATGGTTCCAATGTCATTTAAGCTCTTTGCCCCAAGGATGGTTCCAATGTCACTGAAGCAATTTGTCCCAAGGATGGTTCCAATGTCACTGAAGCCATTTGTCCGAAGGATGGCTCCAATGTCACTGAAGCTCTTTGTCCCAAGGATGGTTCCAATGTCACTGAAGCTCTTTGCCCCAAGGATGGTTCCAATGTCACTGAAGCTCTTTGTCCCAAGGATGGTTCCAGTGTCACTTAAGCTCTTTGCCCCAAGGATGGTTCCAATGTCACTGAAGCTCTTTGTCCGAAGGATGGTTCCAATGTCACTTAAGGTCTTTGTCCCAAGGATGGTTCCAATGTCACTGAAGCTATTTGTCCCAAGGATGGTTCCAGTGTCACTGAACCTCTTTGTCTCAAGGATGGTTCCAGTGTCACTTAAGCTCTTTGTCCCAAGGATGGTTCCAATGTCACTTAAGCTCTTTGCCCCAAGGATGGTTCCAGTGTCACATAAGCTCTTTGCCCCAAGGATGGTTCCAGTGTCACTTAAGGTCTTTGTCCCAAGGATGGTTCCAATGTCACTGAAGCTCTTTGTCCCAAGGATGGTTCCAGTGTCACTGAAGCTCTTTGCCCAAAGGATAGTTCCAATGTCACTGAAGCTATTTGTCCCAAGGATGGTTCCAATGTCACTGAAGCTATTTGTCCCAAGGATGGTTCCAATGTCACTGAAGCTCTTTGTCCCAAGGATGGTTCCAATGTCACTGAAGCTATTTGTCCCAAGGATGGTTCCAGTGTCACTGAAGCTCTTTGCCCCTAGGATGATTCCAGTGTCACTTAAGCTCTTTGCCCCAAGGATGGTTCCAGTGTCACTTAAGGTCTTTGTCCCAAGGATTTCTCCCAGTTAATGTTACCATTTCTTTGACGAACATTTTGGGTGGTAGTTTAGTGTAATTTCAGCCAAAATACAGGATTTATAACTATGATGTAATAGAGGTAGTAATTAATGCAGAATTATAGCCCATATTATATCTTTTAAAGTACTGCAAATTTCCTTGTAAAGACAGTAACTATTAGCCCACAGCTACGTCTGTGCACAAAGATGCGGAAACCTCACTTCTTTCCAAAATCTTGCACATAGACAGCTGCTTAGGGAGGTGGGAGGAGGTAATTCTGATAGTAATAGAGGTAATATTCTTAGAAGTATATGCAATGATGACAATATGAAAATCTGAACAATAATCAGATATGTGATACCTTCTCTGAATTACTGTTATGTATTTCATACATTCTTTAAATGATGAACTTATGAGGTCACTTATGGTTATTTGACACTATCGATTTTTCTGACGTTACTCCCTGGTAAGGACCTTCACATGACTTTGGCCTGTATCAGATGTTGTAGACAAATGTACTCCCCTTCTGAAACTGCTGCACAGCCACACCCAATCCCAACTTTTCTGTTCACAGAAAGGAACAAATTTGGGCTTTTAAAACATGATAAAAGTTTGGGCAGCAATCATGGGTCCTGTTTAATAGACAACCTCAAAGAAGTAAAATTAAGTGTGAATCCCACCGAAGATCCTGTTTGAAACTGATGACCAAGCTGATCGAGTGGTAGATAGCTACTGTAGCTTTGGTAATATCTTGATTAGATTTAGTTTTACAAGAGATAAATTATCTCTTGGGCAGGACTGGTGTAATTCCAATGGCCTAAAGGACCCATGGCAGAACTGATTCTTTGCTACAAAGTTGGGAAGGGCTTGAAAGGCAATGGACTTCCAATTCCTCTCTTGCATAAGACTTGAATACTCTAATGCATGAAGCTAAGATACTGTAGCAGCAGTTGCCATTGCAGATAGAGAAGCTTCTCAAAGTTGTTAAGCAGTGTTGCCTTTGCCAGTTGTTGAATGGGTTCAGTTAAGAGAGGTAATAAATATTGCAAGTGCAACTTATGTATAGCTGACAGCAAAGAGGACTTCTTTTGGAAATCTTAAGTGTGACAGCAGCCACCAAAACAGGACTTATGGAAATGATGTAATAGAGGAAGAAGGTTCGTAAGAATTACCCACATTCACAAACTTACACACCTAATTGACAGCACAAACACACAGTGACCTAACACACTTAGCCACCAAAACTGAAGTCTTAAAACTGTCAGTCCAGATCACATGCTCTGTGTACCCGACATGTAGCTTGACACTGTTCCCATTCAGGACTTGAACACCAATTCTCATGGTGAGGCAGCAATCTTTAACCCTTCAACCCTGTACAATAGCTGTGGTGGTGTCAGCCTACCTCATCACTAAGCTACAAACTACACTGTGATGTGCCATGCCTCCAACATGACTCTCTTTATCTGTAAAGTTGGGCACAAACCTCAATCATCAAATAGTGTTACGTCAATGACAGATTGCCCAACACTATAAAGCTGTGCCTACTATGTTCTTTTTCATTTCTGATCAGCAGTCATCTTAGTGACAAAGACTGGCCACTTCTTTATCCAAACAGTTAGGATGTTTAATGGCAACTAAACTGGATTGCAAAATGTTGCATTGTCGACAAAAGGAAACGCCACCAGTCCTTTCTGAATATTACCAGTTTCAGAGTTAATGTTAATGTGATAGTAAGTGCTATGTTAAGTGTTCTGTTTCATGTGATTATCAGTAAACCATCACTGAAACACTCTTCATTGAACCTTATTATGGTAACAAACATTCATGCTACGTAGCACTGTTGCTAGAATTGGTGAATCCATTCTTGAAAGACACTTTGTTGTCACAAAACTATCTGTCCAGAAACTTGGATGGCTGGTCAGACAGACAACTAACTCGGTCAAGGACCAGTAAAGCTAATAATAAATGTGAAGATTCTAACAAATAAAAAAACTATGGGTCTGATTTCCAGTTGCTCAATGACGCAGATGCTCTAGAATCACTTCCCAACAAACATCTGTAGAAAGCAGCTTTCAGATCAGTTCTCCCTGTCCATCCGGACTGATGTAGTACATGATGGTAATATGGTGCAAAAAATACACTGACTGTCAATATGTGATGTACTTACGTGGCCTCTATAACTACTGCTACTCCGGAGGGATGGATGGCTTCTGTTATGGCAACTGCTATCTGTTTGGTCAGCCGCTCTTGCACTGAAATCATACAAAAAAACTATTTAAGACCGTGGGTAATCATAGATATTAGTGATGAGAGGAAATCCTACCACGGTCCAGTAGGAAGGGTATATTTGGTACTGGATGATATTTCACTCAGCAGAGATATTTTGTCTTCAAACAGTGGAAACTGTATTTGGTTTTTGCTATTCATGACTCTAATTATGATGCAATAGGTGAGGTGAGGTGAAATTGGGTTTAACGTCGTACTTGAGAATATTTCGCTCATATGACAACGTGCATGCGTATGTATGTGTATGTGCGGCTGCTTGTACTAGCCCAGACTGAAGCTGGTTTTATAGTGCTAGCCCACTGAGATACCATGCCGCAGTGAAGCATGAATACCCCACTCAGACACATTATTATGCCGAACGCCAGGCAGGGACCAACAAGTACCATATTTTAAGTCTTTTGGTATGACGCGGTCGGGGATGGAACCCGCGACCTTAATCTCCGGGCGGACGCTCTAACCACTACACCACGGGGGTGGTTTATGATGCAAAAATGTTTTTATTATCTATCTTATTTTTGAAGAATAATTAATATACACAACAAACATTCTTGTGACACATACATTTTGGGATAAATTTGATCAAGTCTAACCCAAACCATTAAAAACACGTCCATACTACAATAACAGAGCTTACAAATGCTGTGACTGTTTGAAAACCTGGTGAAATTTACTTATATGTGCAATTTCATGAAAAAACGAGTCAGCTTGTGGGTATTTAAACATGAGTTGAAGATAGATTTTTTTCATTGTGGATAAAGACACGTTCAATGAGTGTTACCTGAAAAAAAAAGAGAATTTCGAACCACAAGTAAACTCTTTTGGTGTCAACGCTTTCTGAAAATGAATGGTGGAGGGAACTAGGAATGCTCCAAGCCGGAACCTCACGACGGGAAATTGCTCGTCGATATTATGTCCATAGGAACACTGTATGGAACTTGTGGCATTGACATCAGAAAACCAATCACGTCAGAGGCCTTCCCCCCGCAGTGACCGACCAGCACTGGTGGTCATACCCGGTATTAGAGTGTGAACTGTGAATTAAGCCTGACAACATTCACATGGCCATCTTACTGTTTACAAACATGTCTAATCCAAGATTAATCCAAGGAACTATTCACAAGTTCAGTGACAGACATTTTAGCAGATGTGTTTCCCACAATCAGCTGTTCATTTTGTTATTCAAGCTGATGCAACACTGTAAATGGTGCTACAGTTTGTAGGCAAATAATATTATAAGAGAGAGTTATTTCATGAAACACATTGTCTTCATTAACTTCTCTGTTTATTCCAGTGTGTACCATATAGAAGGAAATATTATTGAATTTTCAATTATTTAGTAATGCCAGGTCATATATTCCTTACATAAAGAATACTGCGCCTGTTTAATTAGCAACAATTAAGTCATTTAATTCCCCTGTAGAAATCACCGCCCTGGATATTGCTATAGGTGGCAAGGCAAAATACAAATTTGTTTTAGATTACCAGCCATGAAAGACTAAACGTTCACAATGTTTATGAGTTACATTACAAACAAAAATAATATGCCAACATTTCAACCATAAACTTTTATACCCACAACTGCTTTGTTTTTTATCTTGATTTCTGGTTGGATTCAGGTGTCACAAACAAACGGTTACAAGAACTCTTTTTAAGACGATTTTTGTACAGTACCAAAGTTTCTATGGTGTGAAAACACGCATTCAAGGATCAGGGATAAACCATGTTCTGCAGTCTGCCATTGTCAGCCAATGCAAAGTTCTACCCAGTGATAATGGAACTGGTTTTGTACAGTGAGAGATCACATGCAGTGTTGCAAATATTCAACTTTTCCACGTTTCTGATGGCTGATAGAAGATACTGAGTTTCATCGTAAACTCTGCAGCACATGACAATTGTGCTGGCATCATCAAAAGGCCTGTTGTGTGACTGGACTTTCTGGTCCAGACTCACCTTGACTGTGATGTCGGGGACTTACTTAGATTCCACCACTGTCTGGCTTCTAGTCTTGGACAACAGGGCTTTTTAACATCAACTGTAAATTTCAATCAACTGATTACATTTTTATTTCAAAATATATGATATCCTACCTTGGAGGCGACGGCTGAAAACTTCTACAATTCTGAAAAAGAAAAGGGACATTTACAGAATATGTGAATGAACTTGCACCTTTGGCATGACATCATGTAAATATTCATTATTCAAATTTCATCTTCAAATTTAGACACAATAAACCCTGCCAAGGTGGCCTTTGTACTGTTGAAACAGACACAGCACTCATTGCTAGAACACACAAGGCACTCATTTCTGGAACACACACAGAACTCACTGTTGGAACACACACCAACACTCACTGTTGGAACACACATAACACTCACTGTTTGAACACACACTGTTGGAACACACACAACACTCACTGATGGAACACACAGCACTCACTGTTGGAACACACACAGCACTCACTGTTGGAACACACACAGCATCCACTGTTGGAACACACACAGCACTCACTGTTGGAACACACACAGCACTCACTGTTGGAACACACACAGCACCCACTGTTGGAACACACACAGCACTCACTGTTGGAACACACAACACTCACTGTTGGAACACACACAGCACCCACTGTTGGAACACACACAGCACTCACTGTTGGAACACACAGCACTCACTGTTGGAACACACAGCACTCACTGTTGGAACACACACAGCACCCACTGTTGGAACACACACAGCACTCACTGTTGGAACACACAGCACTCACTGTTGGAACACACAACACTCACTGTTGGAACACACACAGCACTCACTGTTGGAACACACAGAGCACTCACTGTTGGAACACACACAGCACTCACTGTTGGAACACACAACACTCACTGTTGGAACACACAGAGCACTCACTGTTGGAACACACACAGCACTCACTGTTGGAACACACACAGCACCCACTGTTGGAACACACACAGCACTCACTGTTGGAACACACAGAGCACTCACTGTTGGAACACACAACCCACTCACTGTTGGAACACACACAGCACTCATTTCTGGAACACACACAGAACTCACTGTTGGAACACACACCAACACTCACTGTTGGAACACACACAACACTCACTGTTGGAACACACACAACACTCACTGTTGGAACACACACAACACTCACTGTTGGAACACACACAACACTCACTGTTGGAACACACACAACACTCACTGTTGGAACACACACAACACTCACTGTTGGAACACACACAACACTCACTGTTGGAACACACACAACACTCACTGTTGGAACACACAACACTCACTGTTGGAACACACACAGCACTCACTGTTGGAACACACACAACACTCACTGTTGGAACACACACAACACTCACTGTTGGAACACACACAACACTCACTGTTGGAACACACACAGCACCCACTGTTGGAATACACACAGCACCCACTGTTGGAATACACACAGCACTCACTGTTGGAGCACACACAACACTCACTGTTGGAGCACACACAGCACTCACTGTTGGATCACACACAGCACTCACTGTTGGAGCACACACAGCACTCACTGTTGGAGCACACACAGCACTCACTGTTGGAGCACACACAACACTCACTGTTGGAGCACACACAGCACTCACTGTTGGATCACACACAGCACTCACTGTTGGATCACACACAGCACTCACTGTTGGAACACACACTGTTGGAGCACACACAACACTCACTGTTGGATCACACACAGCACTCACTGTTGGAGCACACACAGCACTCACTGTTGGATCACACACATCACTCACTGTTGGATCACACACAGCACTCACTGTTGGATCACACACAGCACTCACTGTTGGAACACACACTGTTGGAGCACACACAACACTCACTGTTGGATCACACACAGCACTCACTGTTGGAGCACACACAGCACTCACTGTTGGAGCACACACATCACTCACTGTTGGATCACACAACACTCACTGTTGGATCACACACAGCACTCACTGTTGGATCACACAGCACTCACTGTTGGAACACACACAGCACTCACTGTTGGAGCACACACAGCACTCACTGTTGGAACACACACAGCACTCACTGTTGGAGCATTGCTTCATCATGTCCCATGTCACATTTCAATGAAAAATTACTGGTAACCACAAATAATGATTTAGATGGCCATAACGACTTTTATTCATACTTGAGGTTCATGGATAAGATATAGCCACTCGTATGTATGATTTCATTTTTCATATTACATGTATTAGAATTGTAATGTGTATTCCTTTTGTTATTACATTTTCCAGAAACATAATGTAAACATAAACAACTTCCATTATCATTTTGGAGATAAACATACTGTGTTTGAAAATTAGATGATAGTCTCTAAATTAATCATTTGAAACCTCATGTGATTAATTTAGAGACAATCAATTCGGTCTAACATTCATCTAATTTACAAACACAGTATGTTTATCTCCATTCTACCATAACCGATTTAACATCGAACTACCTCGTCTTGCGGAAGACACTGCATAATCCAGCATTGGACGAGCTGCGAATTGAACTCGTCTGTGAAGGGAGTGGTAGGTTCGGTTTGTATTTTTTTTAACATTGCAACATAAAAATATATTCTGTCCAAAGAAAACAAACTACTGTTTATTCAATGCAATAATGTAACACCTAAGAACTTGGTTTTTATAATCATAACTCCACAAGACCGAAACCAGCCTATTGTTTTGTGTGCCGTGTTACTGTACCCCCCTGGCCAGACGATAATGGAATCGTCTGACCTACTTATTTTCTTTTTGAAGTAGACAGTTATGCAACAGTTTGAAATGGTGGACGAGCCAGTGTTTACATTTTGCGAAAGGTTGAAATTCGAAGTGACAGTGGAAAATACTTGACTGTCGAACCTGAACCCTGCAGAATCGAAGAATAGATCCTTTTCTGATCGACCTATGACCTGCAACACTTTAAAGACTGTTGACCGGCAAGTGTCAATCATGATTTCACGTACGTGCCTCCACCCCGGCACGCGACGAAAGAGTGACAGTGCTGCTTTGTGTACATGCGACTAGCTTGGGATTACTTGGAACATTGTTCTCAACATTTGGGACTAGATTGTGGCCAAGCTTTTCAAAGTGTACAAACATAGCACTGACAGCCTTGCAGGGAAGGAAGCAGAGAGTGGAATTCTCATGGTTCAATTTTTGAAATTTTGAACAATGAAACGGGACATGATGGAGTATGAGTGGCAAATTTTGTGTTTCGCCTGACCGTTATCTTGCGAATTTCCCATTCTAAACGGAAACAAATATACCATTTACCAGGTAGGTAAATGTTTATGAACGTTTTGCCGCACAAATAGGGATAGATAGGGATGTATTTTTACAAGGTTTTCTGATTTATATGTTAGATATTGTTTGTTTATGTTTGGGGCTGTGTATTGTAATTGAGTTTGAATATTTTTAAGATAGAATAACAAGGTAATAATTATGATAGTGAGGTTCCCTAATAATTGTGGAGGAGAAATCGTATAAATTGTATTTTTTTTTAGTTTTAATAAATGTTTCATCAGCATTTCCATCACGTCTGTTGTGTTGATATTAGTCATGTTGGTGGCCAAGCTGAAGTAGTGCGGTAGTGTTGTATACGTGCGCAGTGAAGCGCCGTGAAATCAGACGCATTTTCAATCCAAATTTATACCAAATTGATTTTATGGATTGACCAATCAAATTCGAGCATTTGACGTAGCCATGGTAGAATACCAGATCATCTTGCGGTTTAATGGGACTTCAGTAAGAGTAACAGGCATGAAACTCAATCCAGAGAAAATAACTTATTGTGACATATTTACATTTTCCGACATCAGACAAAACATATTTCTGTTTTCTGAAATGTTTGACGACCTTTTCCTCTAAAAGTCAAAGTACAATACACACAATTGTACTTGCCATTTTTGGATGTAAAATGCCAGTTATAAAATTCATACAGGTTGTTATACAGGTGTTCCCAGAAGCATCTTACAACTTCGGAATTTTAATAGGTACAATAAAACTTTCATTTAAGGAGGAAAGAGCTCCATATTTATTGCACTGTTGTACTTCACTTGATGATGATTTTCAAATTAACCCAGCAGTCTAAAGGTTAGTATTGACCCTTCCAACAAGCCAGTCTGTATATGAAACACAAAACATTCAGCTGAACAAGTGTGGTGTAGATGATAATTTTCATCTGGCCAACCCAACTCCCACACAAACTCTTATTGATTCTCACATATGGCCTGTGTGTAGCCATTAGCAGTTGCAGAGTCAGGAAATGAAAGAATTCCTGCTCAAACCTGTTACTTGTATGTAAGGTATGGATTGGCTATATATGGCAATGGAGGAAATATGGCCACAGACTAAGTGGAGAGTAGAGTTTTCAGAGTGAGAGTTGAAAGGATGGTGAATGTCACTTCCGCAAGAGCTAAGTTAAGAAGGATCACTTCGTAAGGGCAATCAATATTACTGACTCAGCAATCATGAAGACAAATCTGCCTCCAATCAGAAGGCCACAGGTTTATCACTATATACTATCCATGCATTTACAGTCCAATAACTTTAGTTTGGGGATATACATGCCTACTGTACCTCAAACATGATTACTTGCCTTAACTCAGCGTATTCAGTTAACTGAAGGTATTCATGATCAGATAACTTCTTGCCATCTGACCAAATTGGCCAGATGCAGTACAATTTGAAGTACCATGCTTCTTGCCCCCTTAGTAAAAGGTGGTAAATAGTATTGAATGTGCACTATTCATCAAATGACACAAAGACCCCATGCTAATCACCTACCTGATTATATCTAGTTGCGTGGGTCTACTCCCATTTGTGAGAACTCCCAGTTGTGAGACTCCCAGTTATGAGACAGTGGAGTAGGTAATTAACAACGAAAACACACCATACTCCCCTGTCTGATAGAATGGATTCACCCTAGCTAATTACTGATATACTATGTAACTTGTATCTTGTGAAGGTAACTTAATGAAACTTTATAAGATAAATTGATTAACATACTCAGGTAAACACTTCGTGTAGATAACTTCGTGATCAAAGAGAAATTAAT